GTTTGCCATGTGAGTCGGGGTGGGCATCCTGCGGCGGGATGGGCGGCGGGGAGCGAGGGAAGGAGGGAGGGCTGCGGCACGGACCGTCCCCGGGGAGGTGTGCGCTGCCCCCGCGTCCCAGCAGGCGGGCACAGGCCGGCCGGGCCCGGGGAGCGCCGCTGCAGCGCGGCTGTCTGGGGACAAACACAAACATCCTCCGGAGGGGCAGCGCGGCGGATAACAGGGATCGCGATATTGGAGCGCGGTCTTGCAGGAAAGCGTAATAAAGTAGGCCAAAAGGCGTCGCAGCTGACTGAGAGGGAGAGAGGGCTGGAATAACTAATCTTTTTCTTTGCGCAAGGATTTTTTTTTAAATTTATTTATTTATTTTCCTTATGCGAAGTAGGGTTGCAGTTGAGGTAGATAAAATCTGCTGCTCTGTCCAGTGTTTGTTGCTGTTCTGCACAGGAAGTCATTAATGGAGCTGGAGAAGGCTGCTGAAGCAGTTGTCAAGTTGTGAGGAACAACGTAAAGAGAAGACAACGAGTAGTTTTGAAACACAAGTATTGAAATCTAACAAAGGTCCCAAGAACTCTTCCTGGGATTCCTTTCACTGAATGTTTTTGTTTCCGTCCTCAGTACAGAAATTGGATGCTATTGATAAATTTTGGCAGTGACACTAAGTTGGCAGCCCTTGCCACAGTGGATAAGGAACAGACTGTAATACAGGAAGAATTTGATTATGTTAAACAAGACACTACTAGAAACTTGGTGAAATTCATGCACATAGAAGAATAATCCATTTTTTGCTTATGAAATCAGTAGTCAGCAAGAATTTTATCAGCTGTGAGCAAATTAGCAGGAGAGGAGACCTTGATGTCCCAGTTAGTCATCGAATGACAGTGCGTTCTCATTAACTTGGCAGGTATGAGTCTAGCTTTTACTATGGGAAGCATTTCCAGTAGAGACAGAAAAGTACTGGTTTGCAGTGGGTACTTCTGTGATCTTAGGAATAGTCTTGTGCTGTAGAGGTCATTAATGCTCAAGAGGGATAATTGCAGACTATAAGATGTACAGGAAGAAAGCTATGGTATTTCCCAGAAGTTTTTTATTGTGGCCACTGTATTCTGTGACTATTTATCCTTAACTTCCTTTTCCTCCTCTTACTTCACTAACACATATGAATGCCTGCATGCCTCAGAGTGGAGGCTGCAAAAGAAGGGAAAACCAGTTAGGGATCCCAGTTATTGTTTCCTTTCTCCCTCAAATCTGGAAAAGCTGCATGTGGTCTCAACCCCTGGGCGGCAGGGGGGTGTCAGGCCATGCGGTCCATTCTGGAGGTTCCAGTCTTGTATTTCCCTGTTTGTGTCCATGTACACGGAGGGGTGAGAGGACCATATGTAGGATCTCCTGCTCCCTGGTGCCATTAAGCATAGCCCTCGCTTTGCAGCCAGGAAGGTCTTGGTGCACCTCCCTACAAAAGATGTTTGAGCAGTGAGGTTCTGGAGTGGCCTTGGCCATACTTTGCTCCAGAGCAGTACTGGAAGCAGAACACCAACCTACTTCTGAGCAGACAGAAATTGGTACCTGAGAGGGCTTCTGTGGTATAAAACCTACTATCACAAGAAATGTGATGGGATCCAGAGGTCCCTTCCAGCCCTAGTAATCACCATAGACACCACAGACTTCTCAGGATTCTGAATTTTCAGCTTGGTAAGGAATGTACACTTGTGTGAGGAAAAACTCAGAGCTGGGAGGAGTGGATTATATGGGGCTTTGTCCTCACCATTGTTCTCTCCCACCTCTCCAAAAGGGATCCCTTTGCCATCCACCGGCAGCACATGAACCGCATGCTCTCCGGGAGTTTCGGGTTCGGGCCGCTCCTGGGCATCACGGATGGGACCACACCTGGGGCTCGCCCGGCTGGCCGCAGGATGCAGGTAACAGAGGGGCTGAGTACAGGCTGGAATTTCTCAAACTGCCCAGTCAGCTTCTGTCTTCCACCCTTCCTGGCTTGGGCACCCCCCTCTCCTCCACACAGGTGGTGGGTGCAGAATAAATCTCTTAGGCAGTGGTGTTCTGGTCCTTTTTACCCCACCTGTATTAATGTGTTGAACGCAACTGTGTTCTAGGTTGGATGAGAGGAAAGGCATAAATATGTTTTGTTTCTCAAGGATGCGAAACATTTCCCCATTCATATAATGGGGAAAAATTTAGGAGCATCTCCTGGTTTCTTAGGGGTGATATAACTTGAACCCCCAGGAATCCATGGGGCCCTTTCTTGATCTGTTTGTAGAGCCTGAGTGTTCCCAGTTCTGTTTCTGAGAAGGATTAGTGTGTTCTGATGAGGATCTCATGTTTGGCTATTGCAAAGTCATTCTCTGTTCTGTTTTTTTGTTCTCCTGGCAGGCAGGAGCCGTTTCACCCTTTGGGATGCTCGGCATGGTAAGTTTTCTGTTTTTCTGGGTCAGATTAGAAGCTTTCCAAGTAGTGGCTCCATACTGAGATTCATCAGCACTGTGTGTAACCAGTGCTAAAATGTAGCCATCTGTAAGCATGACCAGCTACCCTACCAGGTGGGAAGGATGGGAATGTCTGAGGAGACCAGGATGAGCTTTAGATTTATAGTAAATGAAATAGGGAAGAGGGTGTTGAACTGAAACTGGAAGCATCTGGTTTCTCTTGGGCCTCTCATTGAGTTGCTTTATGACTTCAGGCCTTTACCTTGTTTCCCCTCTAATGCTTTAATCCTGTCCGTGAGCTGTTTTTGAAGAGAGAGTCCAGCTCTGTGTATATGGAGAAGTTGTATTTGCACCTTGACCAGAGAAAAGCCATAAAGCTGTTACAGCACAATATTTCATGGGAATTGGGACAGTTAATATCTGGGAAGAGCAGGTAGTCCCTTAACTATGGGACCTCATATGTCTGAATAACCTCATATGTCTGAAAAGAAGCTGCAGATCTGGAGGTAATGGAGGGGCTGTGAGGATGTGAGGAAAGGACTTGGCCATCAGTAGGCAGAGGGGATTATTGCACCTCCTTTGCCAGTGGTGGTGGCTGGAGAAGCCAGCTGAATGCTTCAGATAAACAGGGCTGGAATGGGAATGGCTGTGTGTACGTGAGAACACCGTGCTCAGAGCGTGCTGATCTCCGTCTTCCACTGAAATAATACAGTGGAAATAGGTTAGTCCAGATCCAGCAACTTTAGCAGTCTTGCTCTGCAGAATTGCCTCAATGAAAAAGACTTTAGCGTCCCGGAATTTTTGTAGCTCAGAGGAGGATTAATAAGACTACAAACACATAGACTTCAAAGCATAATAACATTGTGTGTGACTACTGCTCTGCTGGAAATGAGAACAAGAGGCTACTCGAGGAAACAAAAAAGAAAGAAATCAGCAAGTTTGAACTGACATTGTAATTTTGTTTACATATTGCACAATTAACCTGTGAGACCTGCTGGCCCAGGGTGTTACTGCAGCATTCAGGTTTACAGGATGGAAAAGGCAGGTGTTTGTAGAAGATCAGAAAATTTGTTGTTATGCTAGAAAGAAAACAATCAGAGGAAACTTCCTTAAGATCATTGTTAGTGCAAATGCTGCAATTTCTTCTCCTAACTTTGCTGAGCCCCCAGGGCTCACAAGCCCCAGTGCATCGGTAGTTGGATCCGAACTAAAAGAACAACCTTTGCCAGAACACTGGGCAATGCAACCTGAGAGAATGGAGAGAACAGCCACACCAAATTCTGGGGATTTTTTTCCTGTGAAAAAAAATCAAGGTTGTTCTTCTTAGACAGCAGGCTTTCTTGCAAATGGTTTGTTGCTCTTTCCTCATGTCTCTTCCCAGAGTGACTACTCTTGTGTTCTCTTTTCCTTTTTATCAGGCAGGTGGCTTTATAGATATGTTTGGGATGATGAACGACATGATTGGAAACATGGTAAGAACCCTCCATGTTCAGTATTGAGGGGAGTGCTGAGGATGCTTCTGCAGTCCCTCTAGTGCCTCTCATCTTACTGTGCTGCTTGGGGTGGACTGAGCCACACCTGCCAAGGTGGCAGAGCCTGTAAGCTTTGCTTCATTGCTGGCAGTCAGTGACAGAGCTTGTTCCTGAGTGCAGGGAGAGGAGAGGGGTGAGGAAGGAAGTGTGGGGGTGGACTTGTTTAGCAAGAAATAAGTATTAATTTAACAGGAAGATGTATTCTCCAGAAAAATGGATTCATGGGGATTATCTTCTTCCTATTGTAACTTCTTCCTACTTTGCTGTATAGAGAGAATTAAATGCCATCTCTTCTTCCCTCCCATCCCTTCTTTCCACCATTCCCCATTTCTTCTTGCAGGAGCATATGACAAGTGGTGCTAACTGCCAGACATTTACCTCCTCAACTGTCATCTCTTATTCCAACCTGGGTGACGGGCCCAAAGTCTATCAGGAGACCTCAGAGATGCGTTCAGCACCTGGCGGGGTAAGGAGGAGGCTGTGAGAGGGTGGGCTTCATTTGGTGGCTTTGTGGGTGGCCGCCCACAGCACTTTGGCTTTGCATTCAGCTGCAGTTCGAGGAGCACATTGTGCTCTTGTGACTCACTGAGCCGTGCCAAGGGCGCCTGGGAGGAAATGGGAAGTGCTGGCAGTGGGGAATCCATTCTTCCCTCTTCCTAACGTTGCGCCTGACGTCCTGGGAGGGGTGGCAGTGCAAATTGGCTGAAATACTGGAGGCAGGAATCAGGGTGCCTTAGAAGGCTGGGAGAAGGAATGAAAACGTTGATTCCACGTGGGAATCTGCCCCCAGATCCGTGAGACAAGACGAACCGTAAGGGACTCGGACAGTGGCTTGGAACAGATGTCGATCGGACACCATATCAGGGAGAGAGCCCATATCATGCAGCGGTCCCGGAACCATCGCACAGGTGACCAGGAGGAGAGGCAGGACTACATCAACATGGATGAAAGTGAGTAGCGCCCATGTTCTCCTCCCTGCAAAGCCCGGGGCCGCTTCCCCACCTGCTCCTCCCCACCGAGCTTATTGTCTCCCTGTGCAGGTGACGCAGCCGCATTTGACGACGAGTGGCGGCGAGAGACGTCCCGGTTCCGGCCGCAGCGGGGCCTGGATTACCGGCGTCACGAAGGCAGCGGTGGCCGGCGGGCCGAGGGGACTCGTCTTGCCATCCAGGGCCCTGAGGATTCTCCCTCCAGACAGTCCCGCCGGTACGACTGGTGAACTCGGAGCAGACCTTGTGGGGGGTGCAGTGTGGCCACCCCCAAATCTACCTACACGCTCTTGTGAGTCTTAACAAGTTCCTTCCTTGTCTTCTGCCTCTGAACCATAGGGTTATTTTTTTTCCTTTGCACTAACCTTACATTATTTTGAAGTTCTGGTTGCAAAGGGGTTTTCCCGCTTTGAGAGAGCAGGGGAAGGTGTGAATTTTGAGAAGATGCTGTGCTGAACAGGAAGATGGAAGCTGTTTAAGTTAGCTTTGTCATGAACAAAAGACCTGTGGTGTCAGCCTTAACTGATGGCTGAAATAGTATGACATGATGTAGGATTGCAATCTGTGGAGTGTTTATATTGTCATTGTATAGAACTTAGAGACTATTTTCTGTCCATCCAGTTTGAAATATAAGTGCTGGTGTCTGGTCTCCTGTGCTTTGAATAGGGCTCACTAGGATGTGATCTAATGCTTGAAAAGGGACATTTTCCCTTTTTTTTGATGTCTAGACATCAGGTTTAAACATGTCTTTATCTGTCTTCTTCTTTCTAGGCACCACTTATTCTTTTTATGTCTTCTGTTTCCTTTCCTCCCAGGTACAGACAGTGAAACTCTGAAGCCCCTTCAAAGCACCACTTGGACCCTCCTCAAATTTAGTATTAACCTCCCTCCCACTTAAGAATTTAAACAAAGCAACTAATCTTCTGCATTGCTCTTTTTCACCCCATTTGGGTGCTGCAGTGGGGCATGGGAAATCTCACTGATGTGCAAGGAACACATTAACTGCCCATTCCCTCTCTGCTGTCCCTTGGCTCTGTTCTTTCTGCCAGTAGTGCTGGGCATGAGGAGCTGCCACCTTGCCTCTTCCATCCTTTCCACTCTTTTTGTGCTGGGTTGGGCTGGTTCGGAACTTTGTGTTTAGTCCCCTGTGAAAGGAATATGAGGGAATTCTGCTGGAACCCCCTGTCAGTCCCCTCACCGGGACAGAGGCTTCGATTCCCCTGCTGCTCCTTGGTGCATCTGTGGAGAAGCAGAAGGATGTGTGCGTTGGAGAAGGGAGGAGCAGAACAAAAGCTGGATCAGCCTGTGGGCCCCCGACCCCTCTTCAGTCAGCTCCCCCACTTTTTTAATTTGTGAAACTTGTAACTAGATGTTTACTGAATAAACAAACTCTAAAGAATTGGTGGATCAGTCTTTACCTTCAGCTGACCTAATTGTGCCTGCTGAGGAATTAAGTAACCTCTTTCACATCATTGGAAAATTGCTGAGGAGAAGCTTGGTGTTAAATTCTAAGGCTTTGTTTTCTTCTAGAAAATAGCCTGGTAGCTTTCCCAGGTAGTCACAGAGTGAGATGATGCTCAACGTGGAAATTGTGAAAGACCCAAGAACTCACCGTTTGCAAAAAATGCCAATTGCTGTAGTTTTGCTGTGCACTCAAGGGAAAGTGGTTGGTCTTTCTTACTGCCTGGTCAGCTGTGCAGCCCTGAATTGGGCCTCTGGGGTTCCTGCACAGACAGGGAATACTTCCATTATTTTCTTATTATATCACTGCAGGAATACTTCCATTATTTTCTTATTATATCACTGCAACCGCAGCTGGCGTTGTGAGTGACCTTTTCTTAACTTCTTCAGTGTTAGGTGAAAACTGAGAGGCATTAGGAATATAGGACCAAGGAAGACCTCCTGGGTTCTTGGCCATTTTCGTGCTCTGGCACACGCCCTTACACAAACCTTTTATACAGTTTATTTGGAACAAAAGGCAGGAAATCAATTCATGACTTGGAAGCGGTGTGCTGGGATCTTGCAGCATATCCCTCTGTTGTACATGTGGGCACTAACAGAGAGACACACCTTGCTGGGGACTCATTGTTCTGCCCTGAGAAAAGGACTTCAAAGACAGCAGCCTGCTGTCCCTGGCAGTGGAGTGACTTTCTGGAGGTGTCATAGTCAAGGCAAGCCCTGAAGAGAGCAAAGCTGAGGGAGGAGCTACACAGAAAAAAGCAGGGCTTGGGAGGGGTTTTGTGGAAGTAATCTTGGGGTTGTCAGACTGTGAAAGAGGGGACTGCAACAACAGCAGCTCTCATCTCTGGCAGTCTTGAGTGAAAGATGTGGCACCTGGTGCTTCGATCGAGTGAAGAACCAGCTGAGCTCAGAAAGGTGCTCACAGCATGGAGATGGTGGCAGTAACCAGCCACCAGGTCCTGGCCAGGCTTTGAGGTGATGTCTGAGGTGGAGAACAGGAAGGTGGCCATGGTGTTGGTGGGGATTAACATTGACCTTTGATCATGAGGATCCACTCCTCTTTGGGCATGGATTTCCTAATCTTGATCTAATCCCAAATCCTTTTATCTGGGTTCAACCTTTGCTCCCTGTTGGGTGCTGTCCTGCTTACAGATTTAGGTAGGACCCTTGCGTGCTCTTCCGTCCACAGTGGGAGGGTGATTTACCTGAGCCTTGTTACCTGCTTGTACAGTCATTCCCAAGGTCTCAGCCTTCTCCAGGGGTAGCAAGGCACTGGTGGTATAGGCATATGGAACAGAAATTCAGTGAGAGGAGACTTTTGTGTTAAGACAGGATCCTGGGGGAGAGTTTTAGAGATCCCAAACCAGGAAGTAGGGGAAGTATATTGAGAGTGCGACCCTTTGGCTTCTCCCAGGTTGACACTTCTGAGTTCAGAAAGCAGGATTTTCTTTTTCCAAAGAAGGGAACACACCTACCTGGGGTTAATTTTTTCATATTAGTTTCAGTTTCAAGTGAAATGGTTTCTACTTAAAAGCAATGTACCTCCTGTATCAGTGCAGGGGAAGGGCTGGGATGAGACTCTTCCATTTCTGAAGTGTCTCTGATAGCTGTGCCAGAAGAATGGAGAAAGTTGGATGTTCTCAACATAAAAATCAAACAGTATTTATTTCAACTGTGCAAGGTGCGGTTCCAAGTCATCCATCCAAGGGAGACAGGATCCCTTCTTGCTCCTTCTCCCTTAGCTGTCACCTTCAAATTGTGTGAATTGAAGCACCAAATCGGTGCAGTTCAGTGATGCTCCTGGATCTTCCTACGGAGCAAGTAGGGCACCTGAAGTGAGACACAGGGGCCTGACACACTTTAGAGACAGAGAGAAGGGGAGGTGAGTAAAATGAGGTGGAGAGAGACTGGAAACTCTAGTAGGAAGATGGATAGTATAACCTTGGATGAGAATGGACCAATCTACACGCAAATAAACCAGAAACTTAGATGGTTTTGTTTGTTGTATATTCAGTTTTCCATAATTGAAAATATATCATGAAAATGAAACCCATTAGGCCTAGTGAGAACTTTGTCCTTAGATATTTTTTGTGGCTAACCCTGAAGGTCTGTGCATCTTCCACTGTACTTTTTGAAGTATTGTAAAATACTGGGGGAATTGTAGAATACTGGGGAGAAAGAAGTCTGGGAAAGTTAACCTGGTGCCAATACTTGTAAATAAAAAAATTAGATGATACCCACACCTGTAAACCAGGTAAAATGACATTAAATCAAGAGATGCAAAACGCATTAAATTTAAAAATTAATATTTGTGCCTCCGTGTTTATAATATGTGACCTCACTTCTCAAAATTGTTCCTGTCCAACAACTGTGATAATTTCTGATTAAATTATGGGTTGTGTTAACAAAGGCACTGCAGCAACCCAGAGTCAGAGGTTACAACAGCATGAGACATTCTATCTGGCCACACGAGACTATGTTCTGATGTAAAATAAGGTAATAATTATTAAAACAACAAAAGGGCCAATATTATAAATTTTAGTTCACTGATAGATTTCAAGTAATGAGGGGGAAAAGAGACTGTAGAATATGAAATTATTTCCAGTAGGATGTTGTTGTGAAACTAATGCTCATTAGTAACTTGATTAATGATCTGAAGGAAGGTATTAAACCAGTGCTGATGAAGCTTTCAGAGGATCCAAAGAACAATGAAAGTAATAAATGTTGGAAAAAGATGAGATGTACTGAACAGTCAGTAACTATTGGTGTGTTTATTTATAAACAGTAGGTATTTTTGGCTGTACTGAATACAGAAAAGACATTCACCCAGGGACATAAGCATAGTCTGTGCTCTTTCAAGATGGAGAACTCCAAAAGGAATTGGGATTGGAAGACAACCAAGGAAATGAATGGTACTTGCTTAATTCTTTCTCTGTGCAGATGGGTTCCACTGGGATGCATTAGCCTGTGTTCACCAAGAGCAGAGGTAAAAACTCTCCCCTTTGAAGAACCATTGTCACAGTGAAGAATTTTATCCTAATATCCAGCATAAACCTACTCTCTTTCAGTTTGAAGCCATCCCCCTTCTCCTCACTACGTGCTCTTGTAAAGAGTCTCTCTTCACTACGTGCTCTTGTAAAGAGTCTCTCTCCGTCTTTCTTGTAGGCTCTCCTCAGGTACTGGAAGGCTGCAGTTAGATCACCCCAAAACCTTCTCTTCTCCAGACTGAACAATCCAAATTCTTTTTAATTTTTTCAGCCTTCCTTTGTAGGAGTGGTGCCCCATCCCTCTGATCAATTTGGTACATCAGAGTAGTGAACCAGCTGTGGGAAATCTGGGCATTGAGCACTGAAAGATAGCCAAAGAAGACTCAAGAAAGGATGAAACAAGGATGACTTGAAGCCTGGAAACACAGGTTAACATGAACTCAAGTTGAGTTCACTCCACTGGAGCACAGACTGGCGTTACCTAAACGGGAACGAAGCTTCTGACAGTAGAGGGCTCTTCAGCCCAGCCTAAAACCTGCAGCGACCTCACGATGGAACTGGGAATGAATGCAGACCTTGTGTGAGAGCAGTAGAGCACACCTCTGTTTCCCAGCTCTCCCTACTCCAAACCCCATGGGGTGTGCCAGAGAGAATATGGGGAGTGGGCACAGGAATGGGGTGAGGGAGTTCTTGGCCACTCGAGAAACCAAGCAATGTGATCATACCAGCCCCTTTGGGCTTCAAAAATCTGTGAGTAGGGAGAGGGAAACGCACTGGCACAGAGCTAGACTGAAGGGAAAGGTGGGTAGGGCAAGAAGAGACCTTGTGACTGAACAAGGGCTTCAA